CGCATTGCGGACCGCGACCCTCCTCTCCCCTCTGCCCTGCCCAGAGCTCCGGGAGACCCGCGAGCTGTCACCTGGGGCAGCAAAGCGGAGACCCCCGTACCCGCCGGCGCGAGAGAAAGTTTCGGATTGTGCTGGGAACCTTTTGGAATTCTAAGGCGGTTAAACTGTTCCTATAATTAAAGTGCTGCGGGCGGGACTGAGGAGTCAGGTTGAAGCTCGGCGCTCCCGGCCGAGGCCGGAGGGTGGGTGGTCAGCGAGGAAGGACGTCCCGCAGCCGGCCGGGGCCGAGAGGAAGCCGCCGGGAACCCTGGTCTCGGTGGCAGACGTGTTCCCCCAAGAGGAAGTCGAAAACAAGTCTAAAGAAATGCTTGACCCCGAGTCTTAGGATCTCGGGAAGGCAGGGTTGAGTGGGTCACTGGTTCCTGACCGTTTCGGGTTCGGACTGTTCAGCAACTGATGCTCAAGAAGGCAGAGGCACTGTCATGCGGATGTAGGTAGGGGGTTCGGGGGCCCGCTCCCCAAGCCGAGACCCCGGTGCGAAAGTCCCTTGACCTTGTGCACCGTCTTACTTTGACAGATGAGGAAAGCGAGGCCCAGGAAGGTGAGGGCTTGGACTTTTTTGTTTGTTTTGTTTTTCCGAAGATCTGGTGTGTGTGACCAAGACAGGACACAGGTCCCTGCAGCACCAGCTTGCCAGCAACCCAGGCTAGATGCCCTTTCTACTAGCCTCAAGCACATTTCTCCTTGAACCCCACCACCCACTTGGAGCAGCTGCTTGAAAGGAGAGGGAAGTAGGCAGGTGTCCTTTCAAGACAAAGTTACACAGCCTGCACCACCTCATCTTGTGGGTCTCCTCCCCTAAGTGTGACTCAGGATTTCTGTGCCTCTTTCCCCACCCCAACTTCCCTCCTCCCTGTATGCACTTTCTCCAACTTAGAGAGATAAACCCCAAGAAAATGATTCTTGCTCCATTTTTTCCCCTAAATGCTAATAGACATTATCAGAATTCTAATCATGCATGGGCTAGAGCTCTAGAGCAAGGGTTACCCCAACCTGGGTTGACCAGATGTGCAGCCCTTGAAGAGGTCAGTTTCTCACCTTATCACCCTACTACTAAATGTCACTCTGGTAGAATGCTGAGTCAGTCATTGCAAACTCCTAAACGTTTCCTGTTTGTGAACTGAAGAGGAGTACTGTTCACTCAGGTAGCACATGGCAAAATGACAAACCAATATAAGTGATTGCACTTAAGAATCTTGGGGGGTCTTATAACTTCAAAGAAAAGTTTCGAACAGTAAGATCTAATAATAATTAAAAGGTGACGAGGTGATATTCTAAAAACAGGATTGCTACAGAAACACTTTAAACCACAGTACTGTTGTCATTGAACTTTGTGACAGTATCATTTTAGGCTCTTGAATCAACTGGTTATCTCAACAAAGCTCATTTTCAAGTTCAGGTTGAAACTGTTACTCATTTTTCCTACATTCTTGGATAACCTTCACAGACAGCATACAGCTACTCTAAGACATGTATTTATTTTCTTGTGGGACAGCGTGGATCTTAGACTGAAGCAAGGAGAAGAAGTTGTGTTAGGTCTGTGCTTTACATCCCCCTAGAAGGAATGAGTTCTTTAGTGTAGCAGTGACTCTCAAACCGGTAGTTTTGTTTTTTGGGCTTTTTTACAGTTTCCAGAGATCCTGTTTCAGTGGGTCTGGGGCAGGGCTTGGGAATTAAAGTTTTAAAAGTGACTAGTTGGTTCTAATTCCCAACCAGGGTTGCAAATCATCAGTTTAAAGCAGAGATTAGAGAAACTGAGCAACTTTTCTGTTTTCTTCTAATTTAGGAAATTGCACTATGGCCAATTAATTTGAATTATTTAAAGTTAACAAATTATTAGATGTTTGTAGTGAGATATGAACATGGAAGCTTATTACATAAGCAAGTGCCTCTGGATTATGCTACTCTCTTGCTCATCTCCATTGACAGAGAGAATTGAAATTATTATTCAGTAAGAGACTGAGGGTTGCCTGTGTAGAGCCAGTTTTCACCCTCATTAACAAATAACCAAGTTCAGCTAGGCCTTGTAACAACTGTCCTGTCCCAATCAGGAAGCACAGGACTTAAGTGTTTATAGGCAAGAAAATATGTAAGTGTGTGTGTTTTAAGGAAAAAATCAGAACCAGAAGTGTGAAATTTAACTTTTCAAAGAGTTAAAATAGCATGTTAAAATATTCCTGGAGAAAAATTGAGAAGTTTGGGTTGGAGAAGATCCTTTAAATATAGACCAGAGAGATGTTTTCTGTCCTTCATCTCTGTTCTGTGTGAGGGTGTAGGTTCTATGTATGGGTTAGGTTTCTTTTAAGAAAAACTATTTTATTTGGACTTGAATTCTGAAATTTCAGAAGCGAAATTCTAAGGCTGACCACAGCCAAAACACGTATTTAGTGGTGCTTAACTTAGAAGTCTTTCTTCTAAAGCTTCCTTCTCGTGGGCTGAGTGGGTATGTACAGTTTGTTTCTGCAGTATCTGAGCACATAATTACAGAACAGAATGTGGAGGATCCTGGCACTCACAATGAAAAAACCTGTAACATTACAACTACCAGCTCAAAATCATTCTCTCCAGCTGTGCACCTAGAACAGGAAGAGGTGGAAGCCTCTGACCAAAATGGCATCTTTTACTACAAAGGTCAGGCTGTAGAATGCCACCAGAATGACTGTGCATCATCACACTTTGGTCCCAGTTTGCAAAGTGTCACTTGTGGGCAAAGATGTCTAGCTAACACTAGGATATTGAAATGTATTACCTGTTGTTTGCCTTTATAAGGCAAGGACATTTAAAATCACACATATATATATCATTATGCAATACTGTTCTATAGCAGAATAACACACTGCACATTCCTAGATCAGAGTGATAATGCTGGTTTTACGACAATTGCACGTGCCCACACATCCTAGGAAATGAGAGCCAGTAGTGTTTACTACTTGTTCTCTATTTTTGTGTTAGTAAAAAAAAACGAATATATTCTTCAGTGTGCAGCCTTTCAGGGAGTTCTCTGCTCAACCTCCTCCATTTTGCTGTCCTCTGAATGCCAGAGGGTGAGACTGAAAGCAGATTCTACTCCTGCTTTAGGCAACTAAGACAGAGGAAGTGGCTAAACAAAAGTTTAATGCTCAACCAGACTGTCATTAATAGATTGAATACTTGATGACCTGGAGAAAGCAGAAGTTTCCTGGATCAGATCAAGCCAGGAAATTGGTATTCAATGGCAATTCTAATTTAAAAATGTATTTAAAAAGCACTTTGGGCCCTGGCCAGGTGGCTCAGTTGGTTGGAGCATCCTCTCCTACACTGAAAGGTTGCAGGTTCAGTTTCTAGTCAGTTTCTAGGTTGCTGGTTCAATCCCCAGTCCCGGGGCAACCAAACAATGTTTCTCTTTCACATCAGTGTCTCTCTCTCTCTCTCTCTCTCTCTC